GCACAGGGAGGCCTGCCCGGCATCGGTGGCCAGGAAGACCAGCCCCGGCCGGCAGGCGGCGCAGCTGGTGGCATTGTCGCAGGCGGCGCACGATGAATGGCAGGCTCGGCACAGGCCGTCAGCCTCCAGGTACCGCTGGTCGTGGCAGCCGGTGCAGATGCTGGCCGAGGTGCAGGTGGTGCAGCCGGCCGGGCAGGGCTGGCAGCGTTGGGTGTCGGCATCGGGCCAGGCGCCGGCCGGGCAGCTGGCCAGGCAGGACCCCTCGAAGAGCCAGGCCTCCGGCGGGCAGCGGGTGCACGCGGCCGGGTCATCGGCGTGCCTGCACTCGGCGCACGGGGCGGCGCAGGCGAAGCACCGGAAGGGCTCGCGGCCTATGGGGTCCGGCCCGGTGCCCGCCGGGCAGGTGTCACACCGGAAGTCCCCGGTGCCGGCGACCGAGCAGGCCAGGCAGGATGCATGGCAAGTGCACCGGCCCTGGGGCTCGGCGAAGAGCCCGGCCGGGCAGGCGGCCAGGCACTCCTCCGGCAGGTGGTCGACCCAGTGCCGGCAGGTGGAGCACCGGTCGGCGCCCGGGCCGTGGCACGTGGCACAGGAGGCATGGCAGGGCCGGCAGTCCGGGCCGAAGGTGCCGGCCGGGCACTCGACCAGCACCTCGACGCTGATGGGCCCGGTGTCCGGGGCGAAGGCCAGCAGGGTGAGCGCATGCTCCGGGGCCAGGCCGGCGGCCGCCCGGGCGGCCGGGTCGACCTCCTGCGCCACGGCCGGCAGCCAGAAGCCCGACCCCGGGGGCAGCCGCATGGCCAGGGGGAGGTCGACGAAGGCCGCCGGCAGGAAGTGGCACGGCCCGATGGCGCCCGTGGGGCAGTGCAGCAGCGCCAGCCCGATGAAGGTGCGCGTCAGGAGCAGCAGCGCGGCCGGGGTGACCGACCCGCCGGCCGGCAGGGCGATGCCCTGGAAGTGCACGGTCAAGTGGTCCTCCGTGGCGAGGGGCTCCTCGCGCGGCAGCTGCCCGAGGTGCTGGCGAGCGCCGGCCAGGTCGACCGGCCGCCCGGCCGGCAGCATGTCCCCCGCCGGGCGGAAGACATACCAGTGCGCGCTGCTGGCGTCGGCCAGGACCACCTCCGCCGGGCGGTCGCCGCCCCGAGGCAGGAGCACCGCCACGGCGTGGCTCTCGTTGAGGGCGATGTCCGGCACGAAAGCCCCCTGCAGCGCGTGCCACCGGGCGTCGCCCCGGTCCAGGAAGACCGCCGGGCTGGCGGTGACCTTGTCCGCGCGGCTGGACCACACCAGCCAGTCCCCCAGCCGGGGGTCGGCCCGGCCGGTGCCGGCCACCGACAGACTCACCAGCCCGGTGGCGGGGAGCACCAGGGAAGAGGCCCCCTGGCTGCCCGGGTCCGGGGTCAAGAGGACCATCTCCGTGGAGGTCACCTGCATCAGGACCCGGTGCGCATCCAAGCGCCGGAGCATGAGGCACGGGCGGGCCAGCGGCAGGGGGGCCGGCCGGGCTGGCCCATCGGCCACGCAGGCCCCGGGCCCGGGCTCGGCGCACCACACCCACGCCTGGTGGAGGATGCCGCCCGCATCGAGCATCAGCAGGGCATACGCCCGCCGGGGGCCATGCTGGAAGGGCCCGGCCTCGGCATAGGCCACCACCGGGCCCGGCAGGGCCTGGTCCAGCAGCGACATCGGCCTGGCCGGCGGCCGGGCCGGGCTGGTCATGTCCCCCTGGGCCAGGAAGAGGACCTCCTGTGGGCCGCCAAAGAGCAGGGTCCCCAGCGGTGGGCCGGGGGTCGCCGGCAGCACCGGCAGCCCGGTCACCGGGTCCAGCGCCAGCCATGTCTCCCCGATGGCGGTGATGGCCCGGCCGGGGGGCAGGCCGGGCAGGTCCTCGGCCTCCGGCTCGGCCAGCCTGGCGCGCGGAAGGACCAGCCCATCCGGGCGACACACCCCGGCCACCAGGGCGAAGCCCTCGGAGCAGGCCTCCACACAGCGGGTCGTCCCGTCGGGGCCGCTGGCCTCCGGGATCCGGTGCCACGCACACACGAGGCAATGGCGGGCGGAGCATGTCTGGCAGCCGGTGCTCGAGCAGGGGGAGCATTGGTGCTCGGGATTGGACATGGGATAGTCCTCTGGGCCGGGCGAGGGGGCCGGGCGAGGGGGCGGCGGGGGGGGGTCAGCACGGGCAAAAGACACATGGGCAGGGTCCGGTCAATGGGGGGGGGGGGGGTGGCCAGGGCCAGGCGGGGGAGCGAGCGCGCGGCCGGGCCCGCCCGGTGGGGGCCAGCGAGGCGGTCCCGGAAAAGGAGGCAGGCAGCCAGGGAGCACAGGCCAGCCCGGCGGCCCGGGGCCGACCGAGGGCCGGCGCCGCCCTGGCGCCAGGTCCGGCCGGCGGCATGGGGGCGTACCGTCCGAGCGCTCCAGTTGCCAGTTATCGACGCAGCCCGGGCACAGGTGATCCGACGACACGTAGGGCGATGGGAAGTGCCCGGTGAGGCATCGCCAGCCCGGCGCATTCGGCGAGATGGTCGACTCGTTGTCGCACTGGATGCTGCGGTCGGTGGAGCAGCCGAACTCCCGGGGCTCGAAGAGCACGGTCTTGTTGAAGACCAGCGCCCACAGGCCGGCGGCCTGGGGCACGGCCAGGTGGGCCAGCTGCAGCCCGTCCAGCGCATAGGCCGTCGAGGGCAGCACCACCCGGCGCCAGGAGATGTCATTGGCCAGGAGGTCCCCGCGCCAGACCCGGTCGCGGCGGTCCGCCGCCCCGGGGGCCAAGATCAGGAACCAGGGCAGCGCCTCGATCATGGACGCGGCCGGCGGGGCCAAGATCCGGGCCCCGGCCGCCGGCACCCCGGCCGGCAGGCTGGTCAAGATGGTGCCCGCCGACCCGGTCGTGTCGTAGCAGGAGAAGATGTAGAGGTTGCCGGTGTCCAGCAGGAGCAGGATGTCCGCGTCAGCCGGGCAGGCGGCCGCCGGCGAGGCCAGTCGCGTGGCGGCCAGACTGATGATGGCCCCGGGCAGGGGGGCCTGGTAGGTTTGCACGGCGCGGTCCGAGAGCGAGAGGGAAAGGTACATGATCACACTTCCGTTGGCCAGGTAGAAACGCTGCCCGCCGCCGGCGGCCGCCGACAGGCGCTGCGACGGCGACATCTCAAAGGCATACACAACGTCGAGTGCCTCCTCGCTGAGGATGGCCAGGAAGCCCTGCGGCGATGGGCCATCGGCCCCGGCGACCCCGAGCAGGGTCACCGACATGGCGGATGAGGCCGCCGCCGCCAGCACCTGGGCATCCGCCGCCGGCAGGGCCCGCCTCTCGGGCCGGGTGTAGAAGCCCACCCCGTCGGTCGTGCACTGGATGACCATGGGCAGGGGGCTGCCAGCCACCGGGACAAGCATGGGATGCGAGCCGGCCCCGAAGCCGGTCGCCGGGTTGACCAGGATCTCGGCTGCCGGGCCGAAGAAGGCTCCCCAGCGGATTTCCGGCGACTCGTCCAGGAAGACCGACTGGTGGTGCAGGCGGAATTCCCGGCTTCCGCCCGGGAGCCCGGCCAGGGAGTGCGCCCCGGGGTTGGTGACGAAGGTCACCTGGCTCGGCGTCTGGATGACCTCGTGCGGGGCACTGTACAGGAAGAGGTCCTGCGCGGTGGTCAGGGCCGCGCAGCATAGCGCCAGGAGCAGCGCTCGCAGCATCGGCCCCATGCGATCTGCGCCAGCTGCCGAGGGCATGGGGCGGGTGGGGGGAGGCGAGCCAAAAGCAGGGGCGAGGGGGGCGAGGGGGGCGAGGGGGGAGCACGGCGCGGAGCGGAGGGAGGGACAGAGCAGGCAGAGGGGCCGCGGCTCGGTGGTGGCGCGGCAGCCGGTGGATACCGGCCTCGGGGCGGGGCTTTTGTGCCATCCCGGCGCCGGTCGAGTCGTGCGGCAGTGCGGGCCACCCGGAGGCGCGGCCGGCGGAGGGGGGCCCCCCGCGGCGCCGGCGTCTAAACATGTGGCCCGGGCTTCTCTTCGCATCCGACCCGCCCCGGCCTCCGGACATCCGACCCGCCCTTCCCCTCGCCTCACCACCAAGGGGGGGGGCGGGGGGGTGCTCGGAGCAGGGGCCGTGGGGGCCGGACGCCCGAGCGAACGCCCCCGGCAGGAGGGCCCCGGAGCGCCGGGCGAAGGGCCCGAGTTGCTTTCGGCCCGGCAGCCAGTGTGACTCGAGACGAAGGGGGGGGGCGGGGGGCGCGGGCGCGCCGCCGTTCGGTCCCGAACACCCCGGGCCCGGGCTAGCTCGCAGGGGGCCGCGCGTGGGCGCGCCCCCGCCGAACAGTCATCCCAGGGTCGAGGCGCGCCAAGATGGCGAGGGACCCCGGTCGGCGCGGCGGCAAGCGAGCCTGGGGGGGGGGGGGGCACGTACACGTTCCAGCGCCGGGGCGTGCCCCGTTCCCCGGCCCGACGGGGCTCAAACGTGCTTGGCACGCGGGCCCGCCCGGAACCGAGCGCCCGCGCCCCGGACGAAACAACAACAAACCTAATTGGCAGAAGATGGGACCCCCAGGCGAATATTGTTCGACGAGGCGGCGCAACTGCCGGCGCATGATCGCCCAAAAGTGCGCCTCTGCCAGGGGACCTGGAGGTTGCGTAACTGGCCCCTTAACTGGCATGGGCTCGGTCGGCCGGCGGGGGAGCCCGTGTGACCGCCGCCGCCGCCGCCCGTGCGTCCGGCAAGGGCCCGGCGCGTTGGGTGTGGCGCATAAATGCGGCGTACCAGGTGCCGGCGCTCCGGGAAGCTGCCAGCCCATGCCGGACGCACGGGGCCTTGCCGGAGGCCCGCCATGCGGGGCTGTGGCCGATGTTTGCGTCCCGCCCCCCCCCCCTTGAGGCTCCCCTCGGCCGCCTCTCCGGTGCCGCAGGCGCGCGGGCCCTGGTAGGCCGACGGGGTGGGTGGATGCGGCCTTTCTCCGGAGGGGACACGCGCTGGTGGGGCACGGCCCGTCGGGCGGGCTGCCGCCGGAGGTATGGCGATCTGCGATGCTGGGGCCCGTGGCGCGCGTGCGCGCGTGTGTGTGCCCCCTGCTCGAGTGTCGGACCCCGGCGCCACGTAGCGCGGCCCGGCGGGCAGGGGCCGCTGCGTCTCGCTGCGGACAGCTGTCGCAGGCGCCCGGTGCGGCACCCGAGCCGTGGCTCGAGGGCAACGAGGATGCTCGATCGGGGCACATGGTCGCGCGGCCGGACGCGGCGTCCTGGTCCAGGGCCTCGGTTCGGCCGCGACCAGGGGCGCCCGGACCGAGGAGGGGGGCGCCTCCTCGGTGGCTGCGCCGGAGTGGTGACCCCGGCCTGTTGGCGTGTGTCTCCGGCGACCGGGCCGCGCTTGCGACGCGCAGGCGAGCCCGCCTCGCGCGCCGTGCAGCACCCCTCCCGCCGAGCCCGAGCACATGAGCCCATTCCCAAGCCACAGCCGTATGCCGCACACGTGGGACCGACCATCCCCGGGGATGGGCGTCGGCCGTGGACTGCCCGAGCAGCGGCCGTGAAGAGGCCCGGCCACCTTCGCTCATGGGGTAGGAGTGTGTTTATTGAGGCGGGCAGGGGGCATGCGCGCCAAGAGAGGGAGAGAGAGGGGGAGAGAGAGATAGGGAGAGGGGGAGAGAGAGAAGGAGAGAGAGGGAGAGAGAGAGAGAGAGAGAGAGAGAGAGAGAGAGAGAGAGAGAGAGAGAGAGAGAGAGAGAGAGAGAGAGAAGGGGAGACAGAGGCAGAGTGGGCCTACTGGCCAAGGCCGCCCGCTGCCACGAAGAACATGACGCACCGCTGGCGCAGGGCACCCGCACTCGGCCGTTGGCCGGCATCGGTCTGCCAGCTTGCGTGCACAAGATCCCCCATGTCCGGGGACAGGGCCGATGTGCTTGGGCGGGAGCCGGCCTGTACGGCGGATACAATCCCCTGCATGTCCATGTTTGGCCAGGGGACCGCGCGCGTGAGGCACTCCAGCAGCATCACCGCCGCCGAGTACACGTCCGCCGGCAGGAAGGCCGCCCGGTCCAGGGCCACGCCCCGCTGGAAGGCGCCGATCACCTCGGGCGCCGCGTACCGCACGGTCATGGCATTCAGCTCGGGCATGGTGCTGATGAGGACCGACGACCGGTCGGCGCTCAGGTTCCG